CTAAAACCCATGCCTCCCTTTCTTTCTCTTGCTGCTATTTTCCTTACATTATTTTAAACAAATAACATGTGTCTTTGTGTGGGGTGGGTGCTCTCTCAAGATGATCTTCACAGTCTGGTTCCTGGATGGTCAACTAAGTTACCTGCATGTAAAACAACAACAAAACAAAACAAAACAAAACAAAACACCTTTATAATGTATGAGGAATACCTTGAGGAAATTAACCAATAATAAACATAATTCCAGCAATCATCTCATAGAATTGCATGAATGAAAGTGCCTTACTCATCAACATTTCCATCTGTCTCTAGCATACCATTCACTCAATCTTTGCCCAGTGATCATCTCTCTATTGCTTCCTAGCCTCACCTGCACATTATCACTTAGGTTTTAAATGTCTACATGCCCAGGTGTCCTGTCCCAGGGCTTCCGATTTAAATGGATGGGGGTGGGCTATTGGTGTCTGTATTTTTAAAAGATCCATAGATGTTTCCTATATATAGCCAGTCTTGAGAACCTCTGATTCAACTACACTTGAACATCTATAGCACACATTTTTCTCAACCTTACTCATGAAATATTTATTATGGATGATCCAAGTACAGTACTAAGGATATGAAACAGAAATCCCTGACTTTGAGACATTTTCCATCTAATTGGTGGGAGAGAGTACATCTTGTCAATACAGTGCAGTAAATAACTGGATGAGGTGTGTACCAGGATCTTTGGGAATCCAAGGAGATCTCACCTAGCCCAGCCTGATGAATCATGGAGGGCTTCCTGGAGAGATGCTACCTGAGATTATCTTTGAAGGATGGGTAAGAGTTATGTAGAGTAGACCATTATAAGCAAAATTACAAACTCATCACACAGTATGACCTGAAAAGGAAAATACATAAAATAGTTCAGTATTACTGAAACAGAAACTATGAAATCAACAGGCTATGAAGTAAGTTGGAATGATAAGGGCAGGGTCACAGAGGGCCACTAACTGATACTTAGACCATAAGTAACCATTCAAGCCAGTTGGTCAGGGGTAGAAACTTATCAGATTTGCTTTTCAAGTAGGTCGCAGGCAGTCATGTGGGAGAGGGACTTGAGCCAAAGCCGAGGGGCAGAAAGTTGACTTAGAAGCAGTTGAAATATTTCAAATGAGAAATGAAGAATACCTGAAGCTGGGGAGTTTCTTCGAATGCATGAAGAGAAACTCAATGTATATTTGAAGATTTTTTAATAGATTAAAAACACGAAAACGAGGTGATTAATTATAGAAGCAAGGCTGCAGGTAATGAGAGGATGAGGAGGAAAGAAGACATCTAAGATGATCTTCAGGTTCCTGGCTTTGGTGGCTAAGCAGATGGAGACATCAAAATTTAAGTAGATAATCTCTTGAACTAGTTTGTTGAATATTATAGATAAGAAGACTGGCTTTTTATTCATTCTTGACTGAAGAATGGCTCTTCCCTGTTTTGCAAAGTCAATCTTTCTAATTTGTAATGGACTTATGAGGAAATAAGTGCCAAACAGCCAATTAGTCCATTGAATCAACCCTGGTCTTTACTTCACATCTCAGATTGAGCAAATGAAATGAAAAATCCAGGTCTGAAAGTGTTATAATGAGTTCAGCTATGAATCTGTTGAGTTTGAGATGTCAGGAGATATCTAGTAAACAGATATGCAAGTCTGAAGTTCAGGGAGGAGAAGAATTATAGACTGGGAGTTATCAAAATGTGTATGGTAACCGAAACCACAAAAGTGCCCAAGATTACCTAAGGAGGTTATAATGAGTCTGAAGAAAATATATTTGTATTGACGAATCTTCCCAGTCATTACCAAACACTTGGAGGAAGGACCCTGGCTACTCATAGCCACTGTGGAGGTTCTAGGCACTTGCCTGCTATCCCATGTACTTTACCCCTTAAAATAAAAGTTCATTACAGTGAAATAGAAGGAAAAAAAAAAAACTAATTTCATAATATAAATAATAAGCTTAAGTTTATTGAGTATTCAGATATTCCATGGACTGTTCTATGCGCTTTTCACATAGTAAGTCATCTAATCCTTATAATTTCTTTAGAGTAAATACATTTTATAGAAAAGTAAAGTAAGGCTCCAAGAGATTAAGTAACTTGTCCAGGGTCACACAGCTAGTAAATGACAGAGTCGGGCTCTCTGGCACCAAAGCTGATCCACTTAAACTTTATTCTCCACTACTTCTTCTATAGTCAAAGGTGTTTGTTTTGGGTTTGGAGAATGCTATCTCAATACCAATTTAGCGTGGTTTAAAACTGACCTTCGTTAATTAGCTAGTTTATTTCTTCAAGACTCAGATGACACCTTCTACCTGCGCTGTCTCCACAAAACTTTCCAATTTATACCCTCCCTCCCAGTATAAAATACACATCTTAGAGTTAACCCACCCAAGGAATAAAAAAGCTGGAATA